TGTCGGTATAATGAAAATGGGCTTTCTACTCCAAGTAGACGGTATCTTTCACATAAATATGCATAGCATCTATGGTTATATGCAACTCATGTGTCCCCTTTTATAATTTCCTCGAAACTTAGTTCCAGGTACCGGCAGTTCGCTGTTATTTTGCTTGCGTAAAGAATCCCGTTTGCCTTTTTAGCTGCCTTTACGCAATGAGAGGAGAGCTTCATTGATGACAGAATGGTGATTGCAGGGTCTTTTTGTGCGGCTACAGTTGATAAACACCTTCCGTCTAGGAAGTATTGGTGAGTAATTTCATTATTCCTCTCCTTCTTTGTTTTGAGCTGCATAACGATGCTTTTCTCGAAATTAAACCTCAGTAACCATTCGTCCTACCATGTCCTTTTCACGGGGTCGGTTCATTGCACATTCATCTGATCGCTCGCCATACTTTGATATCATCTGCGAACATGACTCAATTTCACGCCAGCCCATTCCTGCAACCGGTGACATAAATGAAGAACAGCAGCAACCAAGGCACAAAACCATGTGTTACCATTCTGAAAACTGGCGTTGGAATTGATTTCACATCACCAAAACACACAGACTGCGATCAGCCAATTCAAAAGTCACCGATCCAACGTAACAGGTTACCCTATTCTCCCAAATTCGCGAACTTTTCATAGTAGTTTACGGTAAATAACACCATTAAAGGTTGCGTTTATGTTAATATAGGTGGAATCGACCTTTGTGTCTTCATCCAACGAGCGGGAACACTGTCCAACTTAATAGAGCATGCTGGTAACATATGAGTGATTTGGCCGAAAGTCGTATTATACACTGTCAAATAAATCCCTTTCTTCAAGGGACTGCATGGTAGCTTTCTAAAATATCTTTCCATAACCTTTTAACAAATGCATGTTAGGCTCACCAGTCTATAATTGTTGGCGCTTTTCCTGGAGCCACATTTTTCGATTCGATATATATTTGCACAGTTCCAATCAGAGTAAAAGAATATTGGAAGATCTGTGCATGAGATCCGGAGAGTTCACAACAAGCTCCTTCAGTACTTTTGCTGGTAATTGGTCCAGACATGAAGGCTTACTTTCCTTAAGCACAAGAAGTTCCTTCCTCGTACATTGTCTCTTAAATTGATGCTTTCGATGACTGCGTCGTTAGTTGCAGTTGGGGACCTAACGTGGTTAAAATCTGTTTGATTGGTGAATACAGATGCACAAAATCGATTGAATTGTTCGACTTTATTTCTGGTGTTCGCTAAAGTTCTCCATTGATTTTCGATGCTCTTATACGTTAAAATATTATTTGCAAAATAATTTCATGAAATATTTCCCTTTTTAGTCATCTGATAGCAAAGAAAGTCCTCTTTCAGCCGTGATACTGGAATAAGTGTAGCTTTTAGTTTTAAAATTTTCCAGTTATTATATA